AACCGAGGAATCTCGCGGAGGAAACGAAGGGAGAAGCGAATGGGAAAAGCTGGTCGGTGTGGATGGGGGATGATTAGGTTCTACGGCGGATTGACGCGTTTATCGGGCGAATAGGGTGTAAATTATTGTTATTTTGTTTTCGAGTTCTTGGCTCTAGGTTTGCGAAACGATTTGACACTAGAATTATCGAGCATTTAACCCTTTGCGGACGAATGTCGACGTTTTGCTGAGATGAAACTTTCATATTTTGAATATTGAGTTGCTTTGAAAGATTTGCTTTTGGAAGATTTGAAGATTGGAAGATTTGAAGATTTGAAGATTTGAAAGCTTAAATGTTAGAAGATTTGAAGATTTGAAAGCTTAAATGTTAGAAGATTTGAAGATTTGAAAGCTTGAATGTTAGAAGATTTGAAGATTTGAAACCTTGAATGTTAGAAGATTTGAAAATTTGAAGATTTGAAGATTTGAAAGCTTGAATGTTAGAAGATTTGAAGATTTGAAGGTGTGAAAGTATGAAAGTTGAAAGTTGAAAGTTGAAAGTTGAAAGTTGAAAGTTGAAAGTTGAAAGTTGAAAGTTTGAAAGTTAAAATTTGAAACTTAAAACGTAAAACTTGAAGAGTGTTCTCTGAAGAATCTTCGTCCGCAAAGACGTGTATTCCAATTGTTTAGTTTTAAGGGAACGAACGTCAATTTCTCTAGGAACGACAGGATGAACTGTACAATAATTTCATTGTTTCTTCGGATTATCTTGAAACACTTTTGCGGACAGTTCCGCTGTCTGAAACGTTCGCTACCAGCGTGACATGTTTGTGACAGGCAAAATTTTATATTTTACATAAAGCAAATGAAATTAATCTTACAGATATTATTATTTAAAGTTATAAGCTACGGCATTATATTTAGGAACTCAATAACTTGTTCCAGTTTCATTTTTTCAACCTCATATTTTACATAAAGCAAATGAAATTAATCTTATAGATATTATTATTTAAAGTTATAAACTATGGCATTATATTTAAGAACTCAATAACTTATTTCACTTTCATTTTTTAAATATTTTGTTTATATGTATTGGATCGAATAAAATACAATTGAGGACGTCCTCGTCGAAATAAACGCTGGTAGCGAACGTACCAACGAGCGATCGCGCGATAAACGTGTTTCTCCGCCTCGATTCGTTTTTATACTCCTACTTGAGGAACAATCGTCCAGAAAAACTCTCGAACACCGGCCAGACCCGACAACGTTGTCACCGTTTTCCCACGCGTACGCTGAAATCCTCGACGACAAGGTTTCCCGCGTTTTTTAATCGAGATCCCGAGCCGAGCGACAAGATGGCCGCAGCTGCAGTCTTTCAGGCGGCAGAATCGAGAAACGGACGACATTCTCGTCTTCGCCGGTTTCCACTCGACGGCCGATCGATCGATCGAGGAAACGGGAAACGAGAAAAGAATATTTTTCAGATCTCACGTTACCTGGTTGTCGCGTATCGAGAACGAACCTCCGAGGCTTCTCAAATCGGTTCGAGGGCAGCGCGATAAATTCGTTGGCGATGCAACGTATGTATTTTCTAAGAAAGTGTTAGAGCAACCGTTCGCTCTGCGACCGTGTCACGTGGACGGGAGATATTTTAGCGAACCTCGTCCGGTGTAATGTTTAAGGACATACTCCTGTGCCGATACCGAGTAGGGAAGTAAGCGAGGGACAAGGCGATCGCTCGCGCGTGTGTGTTTTGTATATACAAGGTAATTCGCTGTACACGCCTACAAACTCGACGGGTTGCGGTGAAATCGCTGACGATGGTTCCTTGACACGTTCGCTACCAGCGTTTATTTCGGTGATTTTTCTTTTAACACGTTTGTCCAAGTTCTTGTTCAAATTAATAGGAGGTTCAGTTGGATTTTTAAAAGGAATTCAATGGAATGAGTACTGAAATATAAATATAGGATGTGCAACATAAAAATATTGAAAATATACACATTACACGTCCTCCATATCCAAGTCTGAACTCGATGAAACTTTATTTATAACTCTTCTTCTAAAACTCACTACTTTCGTTACTTTCAATTGTACTTTTACGCCGTCGAGTGAACATTTTGAGGATAAAAAAATCACTGACGTACAGGACTGGCCTGTAGATTGAGCCTGGGGGTTTCTAACCCCTTGGCCTATGATATATTTCTCAACTCTGGTCGATACGGCTGCTGTCGTTAATAATTTATTGGAAAAAGAGAAAAATTCTATGTTATGCCTATATTTCCTTTTAAGTATAAATAGTTGATTACAGAGGAATAATATTCACTTTGATTTCGAATCAACTGAGTAATATTTGTTGAATCATATTGAAAATCTTCACCACGAGTCTAACCCGTTATTGTAGGTCAAGGGGTTAAAAAATAAGAGCATAGTGCTCTCTACCCTTTTAATTTGAGAATTACTGGTTTACCAAGTACTTTGATATTTGGAATATAAGAAAAGTTTCGAAAAACTTATAAAAATCGCCTGCTAGTTAATTGCAACATTAGTACCAGCATTTACTTCGGTGACGACCTCAGTTGTAATATTCTATTCGACTGAACGGATCAAAACAAAGTATTGAAGAAATGAAACTGAAACGAGTCACGAGTTAATTCTCGTCGCGAAAGAACTGAAGCATTCGTATATACAAGTTTAAACATTGCGCGTCGTTATTTCTGTGAATTGCTGACAAAATCTTCTCGTTCTTTATGGGTAGGATGAAACAAATTTTTCGTCGCTCGTTGTTTAAAACTTCCTGTCATCTTCCAATGACATTTCTATTTATTTATCGTATTTATTCGTGCATTAAGATATCATTACATTGAGCAAATAGAAGAAAATACTATTCGGTAAATCTGAACGTCTTTCAAAGATGGCGGCAATATTAATCCTTCGCGCTCGAGGGTGCCATTCGATTCGATCCAAGGAAATTATGAAATTTAAAATTCAATATTAAACTTTTATATACAACGCATGAAACATCGGAATAAAATAGTTCCGTCATTTAATTTATGCAAGGTATTTCTTTATGTCAGTTGTCAAAAGTAACATTGATATTTCATTTGAAAATAATGAATATTCTCGAGCGCAAAGGGTTAATTAATCCCACTCGAAAGTATTTACAAACGCATTCGCAATTGTCCAATCGAACGTTGATTAGAAATTTTACTATATCGAGCGATAGAACTGTTTCGCTTCTATATCTCATATATAATTACACTACATCTTTGACATTGAGTATCAAATTTTATAATTTTCACGTCAAATCGAGTGACGGTCACCGAGTGCAAAAGATCAGCGATAGTTTCGAATTTTTATCGGGACGTTCAAGGTGATTTCAATGCAACCCTCGCGAAGACAAGTCCGCGCATACGACACCAGTATTTTTCATAGAAGAACAGCAACAACGGAAACGGTAATGACCCGTTGGAACGCGTGGGCGGGCGTCTTAGGCGGATCATATCGGTGCATAGTCAAGAAGAGATAGGCTTTAAACGGGCTACAATCGCCGCTATAGTATAGTATCGGTTGTGATTAGACTGGAGACGCGGTCGATTGAACGTCGCGCGGTATTCCGACAAAGAATATTATATACATACATAAATATATAATGTATATTTTCCATTTGCATAATTCCGAAAGAAAGAAATCGTTCCGATCTCTGGCCACAATTTTCTACGAGAAATGTTAATGCGAGAACGCGCGCGTCTGTCGAATACCGTTTACCGGGCCTAGCCTTATCGTCAAGATGCATCAGGTGCGCGCGAAGGTTCTTGCCGATTTAACCGGTTTCGCCCCATTTTAACACTAGGTTTACGGGCATTCATTGCACACTTCATTCTATTATTCCTAAAAGAATCGATACTCGCGTAGGAAAAGAAACCGAATTCAGGGGCGTTGGGGATTCGGAGGATGTATTCTAATCTAATCTTTTCGGCTTCGGCTGTTTCGTACATTTCAAAGATAAATAAATCAGGTAAATTCGATTAGGTAAATTAATAAGGTAAATTCAAAGAATCTTCGTCCATAAAGGGTCAAACTCTTTAAATCCTCCACCACGAGTCTAACACGTTGTTCTAAGTCAAAGGGTGAAGAAAAGGAGCTCAAATTCAACAGAAGTATTTTCTATTAACACGTTCCGTGCTGGATTTTTTTGAAACTTTCCCTTCAGGCCGCATGGGGCGTATACGACCCACATTTTTACAGTCAATTAAAATTAAATAACCGCAGTATACATGATATCGAAATACCTATCTTTGACTCTACAATAAATTTCTAAAAAGTTCTCCGTTTTTCAATGAGAATTCATTTTCAGTCTGAACGGAAAATTCAGCGTGTTAACCGACCACATAATTCCCCTCGTTACCGATCACACATTCCCACTTCGACATCGCCACAAAACCGTTCAACCGAAATCGGCGAGGACTTTCGCGCGAACCGATAGCATAGCGTAGCAATCGCAACGGGATACCGTCGAGGATTCGTCGACGACAGAAACGTCTGCCGACAAGCGAGATCGCGGGCGTGCTTGATCGTAATAGTATCGATGTAGCGTACTTGGTACACATGTTTCGTATACTCACGGCGAATAGGAGAAGCTCAATGGCGTAAGATGAAAAGATGTTCGCGTGCTGAACGATCCGGCGGAGATCTCGTCCGAGTATCCGGCGTCGTTTCCGCTCTCGTAACGGGCAACCTCCTTTAAACAAACGATATCGTATGGAAACTCTGTACAGGATGTTTCAAAAACATACGCCACGACCACCGTGTCGATGACATTCGTGTCATCCGTTGTTCTTCAAGGTCAGAACATTGTCGCTTCCTCAGACTTTTCGGAACGCGTGGAACCACGCTGCGATCGTGAGATATTTTGAAACACCCTGTACATAGGAACGTTACCACGCGTTTAACACTAGGTTTACGGAAATTTGACGCGTGTCGAATTTGATAAATATTATTTATGAAGTGTTTACGTCGATTTTGATCGATGACGTGAATATTCATCCTAATCGTCTATCGTAGACTTTAATTTCCAAGATCTGAACGAATATTGAGTTTTCTAGGAATAGCAGAATAAACGACCGTAAACCTAGCGTTAATCGCACCGTACTTACGAGACCACGCGTGTTTGTACATACGAGTGAACGGAGAGAGAGAGAGAGAGAGAGAGAGACAGGTTGCGAGCGAGAAGGTATTTAATCAGTCGCACTCGTGTAATTCGCTGCCGTGCATGCAAATCGATGTACATTAGTCCTATTTAAACGACGCTATTGATAAATTCTGATTCGAAGGACCGTACACCGCTGGTTGTCCATTGATTTCTCACCCTGAGAGACACCCCCGTCGCGAGCGTCTCGTTTTCCAGCGTCGCCTCCGACTCGGTGCAGTTGCAGCTGTTCACCGAGCTGCCCAGCTGAAATTGGAGCAGGATGATCAGGTACGCCGACATCGAGCCCAGCATCTGAAGAGAAATTCCGAACGTTGTTTACCGCGATCGAGACGGATCGCCGATCGATGCCACGCTCGCTCACCGATAGGAACATCGAGTTGTCCAGACTGAAGTACCCGTAAGAGGTGAACTTAATTTTCCGATGGAGCAACTGGAGCGAGAATTGCTTCAGCTGGAAGAAGCGTGTCTGTGTCGGTCTCTGCGCGCGTGTGCGAGAGTCTCGGACAGCCGAGAACGTTTTAAACCTTTGCACTCGAGCGGTGACTGAGAGTCAACACTTGATTTAACCCTTTGCACTCGGAAATTTCTCACTGGAAGTATTTAATGTTTTTCGACAAAGACGATATTCTTTGGAACTCTAAGGGAAATCACAAATACGTTGAGCGACAAAGATAGTTTATTTCCAATATTTCAATTTGAGGCGTTATACAAAGTTCAACGTGAAATATCAGACTTTGTTGTTTTACTGTGGTAAACCAAGTGGTGAGAGTCACCTCCCGAGTGCAAAGGGTTAATATAACAAAACTATAAAGCTGAATATTTAGTACTTTAACTAAACCTTTGCTACGAAAGAATAACTCTATGGGGAAACGGTCAAGATTTTCGTGGCGTTTAACATGTTAAATGATTTTTCGCGTTGGTATCGCTTTACCTCTGACTTCGTTTCCCCGTTGATCGCGCACTTCAGCAACGAGTGCACGAGGATCCCGATTTTCTCCACCTGCAAGGAAAAATATAATGAACTTTCCGCTCGCGGTACACTGGTTCCCAATGCGGAGAGCAATTCGATTTTTAACCCATTGCCGCGAACGACGGCTGTAGTCGTCCATTTTTATAAAGCGTTACAGTCGAATATCTCCGAAAATGTGGTGGACATTCCAAGGTGACGTGAAGGTCAACTTTCTTTTTTTAAATGGAATGATACGTTTTTTCATCCACCATCAAACAGTGCGTTTTAAGACGAATTCAACGATCTATGACTCAAGGTCGTTCAAGGTCACACTTGCAGGGAAATGGAGAAAACGTGTGATCTATATATATATATATTATATCTATATATATCTATATATATCTATATATATATATATATATATATTTTTTTTTTT